TGTCCAGTTCAACCTTGCACAGACTGGCCTTGAAAAATACCTGCTGTTTGCATCCCCTAAAAGTTGACCCAAACAGTTCATAGGGTTGGTGCAAGTGGGGGTAATCTGGCAGTTACGCAAAAGTACACGAGTCCGTGGGCCCTTGTCAAACACCACAAACATGCTGTCATGCTTAAGAAGGACTTCCTCTCTGATTCTATATCCCTGGGTTCATCCGAGCCTCAAATGGACAGTGAAGATCTAATAAGTTAAAACGAGGTGTGGAAAAGGTCACCAGAAAAACAGCAAGGAACAATACTCTGCATCTGAGTGAAGGATTTCTCTCTGGGGGTTCACTTTAGCTCTGTGATTTTTTTTTTTTTTAATGACCATATTTTTCTTTCTTTTTCTGTGATTTAAAATGACAACGGTAACCAAGTCTTCTGGCCACTCTAGGTGATTATGAAATTAAATTACCAGTAGTTATCACTAAAACAAAGGTAAAGACAGTGCTTTTACACATGATTGAATATTACTGAAGAATCCAAAAGACGACATCTCTGTTTCAACAAAAGACACCCTGTTTTGTAGTGTTAAATACATGGAGTTTCTGGTTCCACGCATGTCCATCTTGGCATAGGTTTACCTTCTGCATCTGGGAATATGAACAACTTGTATATGTTGCTGGTTGTGGCCCTCCCATAAGAAGTAATGCAAATTCCTATTTATCACCAGCCATATGACAGCAGAAAATAGGATTACAGTTGGGCCCCCCATACCCGCAGATGTGGAGCACCAACTGTATGCACTGATGTACACCATTTTAAATGAGGGACTTGAGCATCCTTGGAATTTGATACCCATAGAATCCATCCCCCGTGGACACAAAGGGATGACTGTGTTTACCTGGCCCACTTTACTGTTGCACAGAATCTGGGGAAACAACTCCCTCAGTGCATTCTGGAATGGTCTTTTCCCAATTAAGGTTTGATAACTGTACCTAATACTGATTTTTACTCTTTATCACATTTGCATTTTAATTTTAGAAGTCTATATTGATTTCATTTCTATAATACAGTGTGTTTATGTTCTCAGAATCTTAACTTCTTATCCCACAGTCCCTCTAATATTTAATTTTTTTACCTAGTTCAGTTACTGAAAAATATCTCAGTTTCTGTATTTATCACTTTACTTGAGTTGTTTTCTTTTCTTTGCTGTGTGCAATTACCCATTTCTCGTTTGCATTACTATATGCAAAATGTTCTTATTTCAATTATAAAAGCAACTATAACCCACGATAATTAAGAAAACTATTTTGCAAATCAACCATTGTTTACTTCAGAGTATCACAGGCTAGATTAAAGGCTTAAAGACAGAGATTTTTTTTTCTGATTTAAAAAAAAAATAAAGGTAATCAAACCTTCCTGCCAATCTAGGTGATTGTGAAATTTAATTACCAGCAGTTATCATTAAAATAAAGGCAAAGCAATTTCTTTTACACATAATTGAATATTCCAGGAGAAAATTTCTCAAGAGTTCTCAAAAGAACGTATTTAAAAATTAATTTTCACTTGATTATTTCATTTGTTGTGTGTCATTTGGTAACAGACGAAATGATACACGTGGGTGATGTGGTCTCAACAGCAGCGAGTGTGAACACAGTCTCAGGAAAGTCCCTGAACTTGAGTCTTAACACTGAGTAAACGATTAGATCTTCACTTTGTGCAAACACAACCAAACCTAAATCTTCCACAGCTATTTCCCTAAGAGAGGCTTAACCCGTATTATTCGAGTTCACCTCTCCAAATGCTGGACACGGCAGAATCAATTGCCCAAACATGTCCTCAGGTGTCCAGAGCTGTGTCACTGAACACACCGGTACCTGAGCAGACAGAAGCCTCCTACAACAGCAGCAGCGGCAAGTGATCGGCAGCTCTGGCCAACGCTGCTTCTCGGCCTATAAGCATAACTGTGTAGAGAAGAGTAACCACCAACAAAAAGGTCAATAGCCCTAAGAAAGGAATTTGAAAATCAGGTCATGAACTTCATCTCCAGCCCTTTGCCTAAATTCTTTCCTCATCCTGAAGTGCCTTTCCCTTTCTCTGTTTTCTGGAAAAATCCATCTCATCCTTCAAGGCCCAACTCATAGGTCACCTAAACTGACCCCTCTAAATTGAGGTCACCCTCTCTTCCCTGCTGTCTCCTCCACATAATTCATCTTATCCAACTGGAATACAGATTGATATGTGCATGTCCACCTCTGCTGCTGGGAGTGAGGGAAAGGATCTTGATTCATCTTTCTATTCCAAACACTTAAGATTATGCCTGAAACATAAAAGATAATAAATGCTTGTTTAATAGAGCTCAAACCTCAAGATCAACTTTAACATGCAATGTAAGAAGCAGATTGTATGTGTTGGACTTATTTCTGCACCTAAAGTCTGAGTCTGTGACTGCCTTTTTTTTTTTTTTCCATTCCTCCAAGGAGCAAAATTTATTCACAACAAGCACTTGGGTGCCGTACCCTGTGCTAAATGCTCTACACATATTATCTCGTTTAATCCCCACCAATATTCTCACGTGCTATTACAAGCATTTGCCTCATTTATGGATGAGGAAATTGATGTTTGAAGAAGTTAAATAACTCACCCGAAGTTACCCTACTGGTCAGTGGCGGAGCCAGAACTCAAGGACAATAATCCCAGAACTTCAGAGCTAGAAGGAATCCCAAAATCATCTTCCTGGATTAAGATCCTTGAAGTGGGGTTTATGACTTACCTCCTGGTACACAGCAGGCCCTCCCAAAGGGCCACTTTCTCAGATTCTGACCTTTGCCTGGAAGAACTCAGCTGCCATCACAAACAGGCTCTATTCTTGCCTGCCCAACACTTCTCACAGGTGTGAATTGCTTGTGTTGTCTGAATTATTCATGATCCCCACCTTGAGAAGTGTGCTTAAAGAGAGAACTACAGTTCTCATTATTTTTCAAGACAAAGTGCCTGATTAATTGGTGAGTTAGACAACATAAGCTCATGGTCCAGGGCGATTCACACCAAATATTGTATCCCTGCCCACTTTTTGAATTTCAGCTTCCATGTAATGCCCCAGTTTCCATTAGGATTTAAAATAGGGGTAGCTGGGCAGGAAAGAGAACCATCTCCAGCATCTCTCTCCTACCTGAAAAACAATTACCATCATCTAAAGCTGCTGCAAACCCATGTGTTCTTCCCAAGGCTGAGATGGGTTTTTCAACGAGATTTCTTGAGCTGCATCAAGCCCAGAAAATTCAGATGCCACGTCACCTGTAATTTATGCCATCAGTAAATCATGTGAAACTACGGCCTTCCGGTCCTTTCTCCAGGCTTCTTCCCCTTCGCCACCTCTCCCTCATGAGTTGATTTTCCAAGTGGGAAATTTTATGAGAGGGATAACCATCTGCTAATCGTGAGCCAACATCACTGTGTTTTAAATTCAATGTTAGTCAACCAAAATGAATTGAAAAGCAGCAGCAGTGGTTTGGGGGTACTAAAAATAAGCTGTAGCATTTGCTGAGTTCTCAGAATTAAAACCACAGGCGGCTAACTTGTTGCTGCTCTTAATAAGATATGACTGTTCTGTCCCATTGGCTGCTACTATGAGGAACTTGAACTCTGACATTCACCTACTAACACTGTGCTTTGGGTTAGTTGGCAGTGACCAAGAAAGGAAGTGCGTTTCCCTGCAACTAAACCTGCCAGAAAAGATAACAGATGGCTTTCAAGTGATCACCTTGTGCCACACCACAACTGCACCTTGTGCCACACCACAAATTCGCCTTGTATTTATGATTTAATTAGTCACACATCCATGGATATGGTTCCCTGGCTTGCTGTCTAATGCCTCCAACAAGGTGTTTCTTCCTTTGAATTTAATTTTGGGTAATAATACAATAACAGCACACAATAGGAATTAATACATTGAGCATTTCCATTAGGACTTCAACACCTTCTTGACCACTGAATACCAGATCCTACACTAAAGGTCTTATCAGATATCCCTTGAAGGTTTGCCATTAAAGTTTTGAGGGACCAGAGAGGTAGAAGAATTCTACCTAATGGATCATTGTGATTAGAAACCTGTCATATTCAGTAACCAGTGGGGGTGCTTCTATTGATTCCTGCTCCTTCAGATTCATTAGCAATTTTTTTCTCTTCAATTAGACCTGCTGATCAACCATAGAAAAGCTGAAGGAAGCCCTCCCTTTGCTCAGCTGCACTTGGGGTAAAAAAAAAAAAAATTGTATGCTTGGAAAGTAAAATTACATAGCATATTCCAAGAGGCCACACAGGGAAAATATCTCTCTCTCTCTCTCTCTCTCTCTCTCTCTCTCTCTCTCTCTCTCACACACACACACACACACACACACACACACACACACGCACACCCCCAGGAAAATTGTCAGAGGCTGGGCTCTACGTTCCCTAAGTCGCTTCAATCAGAACCAGAAGACACAATCCCTTCATCACGTCCATCTTAAACCCATGCCCCAAGCGTGTGTCTCCACGGAGCTAATTTCTGAAACAAACAAAGAAAATCAAGTCTGCGAGGAGCGAGGGTTTGCTCCCCTGTGCCTTGAATTCAGGCATCCAGCACAGTGGCGCCGCGGTGCTCGCGGGTCGGGGCGCCCAGGGTCACCCTCACCTTCCCCGCCCCGCCAGCCCCGGTGCCAGCTGCGCCAGAAAGTGCGAGCCCGCCCTGCTCCTTTCGCTTCTCCCCACTGCGCCCCAAGTCCCCAGAACGCCCGCGTCCCCACACTAAGGGCGCCACCGCTCTCCCGCTCTGCGCTGTCAGATGTCAAGCGCCGAGGTGCTGTGGGCACCGAGGGTGCCGGCCAGCCAAACAAGTGCCACACCGGACGCCTGCTCTCACTCCGAGCGAGCGGGCGGGGCGGCCACAGGTAGGTTCTCCATCCCAGGGCGCGGGGCGAGGGCAGGGGGCGAGTGACCCGGCGCGGCAGCCGCACCCGCCGGGCTGAAACTCACCGGAGGACACGGAGGAGCCGGACAGGCTGGAGTTGCTGGACGCTGCCATCTCCGCGGCCCCGCACGTCGCTGCTCGCTCAGCCCCGGTGCGGACGCAGCCTGCGCTGCCCTCGCCCGGTCGCTCCCAGCCGCCGCGGCCCCCAGCCCATGGCAAAGTCCTGGGGACGCGCAGCAAGCACCAGCCTCTGGACTCTGCTTGCACTTCCTGCTCCGCCAGATGACGCGCTGCCGCCGCCGCTATTTATTTGTGGTTTCCGTCCCTCTTGGCGCCTTTGCACGCTTTTCTCCGGGTGTCTCAGGGTAGGTAGGTGGGAGCAGAGAAAGGCCAAGGGGCGGCCGGAGCGGACCGAACGTGGTGCAGCCGAGCCCCAGCTGCAGTTAGCGAGCCCCGCGCGCTGTGGGACCCGGGCGCCAGGGCGTCCCTGAGCCGCCCGCCAGCTCCCCTCACCCTCCGCTGGGCTCCTGCCTTCCCGGCGGCACTTCGAGCAGCCCGGGCAAAGCGGCGGGAGACAGACAGACAGAGCGACCTCCCCCTTCTCCCTCCGCCCCAACTCCGCTCGGCGCACACAAAGGAAGGAGAGGAGACGCGGGAGCTGGGGGGCTGCTTCAGCTGCCGCGGGCTTGACAGCTCCTGCGTCGGGGCTGGAGGGGGAGGCTGCGGGCTGCGGGGCGGGAGGACCCTGGACAAGGAGCGGGACCTCCAGGTGCTGGGGAAGCCGCCGGGGGCGCGGGGCGAGCGCAGCTGCCGTGCGCAGAGCCACTCCAAGGGTTGGAAGGCGACCTGGAGCGGGGAGTGGGGACAGGGGGGCGGAGGGAAGGTGTTGGAGGTCGCTGCGCCCGGGCGGACTAAGAAGCGGCGAGAAGACGGGGTGGAAAAGGGAGGGCGGACGCGGGGTCACTAAGGACACGCTGTTAAAGCAGAAGGGGGCCTGGGGTGCCAGAGCGGCTGTGGAGCGCTCCGTCAGTCCCCTCCAAATTGTCCTTTGTTGCTCGGGAGCTGATGGTCCCAGCCCTGCCAGGAGGTAAGTTTTCTAAACATCCTCAAAACACCCAGCAAGCCAATCCAGCTGCACTTAAGTACCCCAGCCACGGACAGTGCCCGACCGGCCCACGGGGCTTTTGAGGTTGGCCTTCAAAGAAATAGAGATATTCCAAATATGTCATCAGGCCCACACAATGCCGGGTGTCAGAGAGAAAGGTTCTCCGACTTCCTCTTGCAAAGGATCCGCACAAAAGCCAGAAGACTGGCCGCAGGTCCGACTGTGCCTTTCAGGCTAAGGCGCTACTCAGGTGTGTGTGTGAGAGAGAGAGAGACGGAGCACCTTGTGCTCCCTTCCCCTGTATTTAAACCTAAATTAATTTCACTGGGAGGAAATACCATGCCGGGTGTCGTGTTTTTTTTTTAAAGTCTATTTCATGCTCCCAGCAGGGCAATCGGTTCTTTTAATCCTGAAGCAACAGAAAACTGTGAAATTTGAACAGAAATTGTTAGATCAAAAGGAAAAGCGAACATTAAAGGGATGAAAGTACTCTCATTATGTAGTACAGAGGAAAGTGTTCACATTGGGGAAGTTCAATTTTTAAAAATACGGTTAAAAGGACATAGTTTAAAAATTATTAGGAGTGACAGGAGCAGCGACCAGTCCTAGGGGGTCCACGTCAACCATGGGCTTAACACGCAGTGAATAATAAATGTTGAATAATCACACCATGCACCAGGTCACACTTTCTAGTGGATTTAAACTTTTAAAAAAAAATCTCTTCAGGATGCCATCCCAGTGGGTCTTCCCAATAAAGTTATTTATTTATTTGTGTATTTGTTTATTTATTTATTTATTTTTAATGCAGCTTGATGAATAGTTGAGGGCTCATGAGCACTCTTCAGTCACTTTGGATTGAGTCTCCCTGACCCTCATCTAGTGGAACTTGAAACATCCCTGCTGGTATAGAGAGACCCAAGCACCCTCATTTTTCTTCTTGTTGTGCCACACAGCCTCGATGCAACCTCAGCAGGAGCCAGCCCTTCAGGGACACATGGCCCATCCCAACCCCCACCTTGCTCTCAGAATGGAACTGCCTGCTTTCCAAGACTTCTTCTGATCAAAGGCAACATCTGCTTGTTTGACATGAAATCTGTGTGTCCCTCCAGATCTTTAGTTGGGCAACTATCTAACTTAGCTGTCACTTAGTTGTCGCCATCTGGGTTTTGAAGAAGACAACACTCAGTTTCCAACTCTGGTTTTGCCACTTATTAGCTATGTAACCTTGAGCAAATGACTGACAGACACTCCCTGAGCCATAGTTGTTCCATCTGCAACCAAAGGACTCTTACAAGGGCTATCATGAGGATTAAATGGGTTGATCATTGTAAAGCCACAGTGTAATTGGCGTGAGGTTCAGGCTCCATAAGTGACTGTAAGTTGTTCGCTTAAAAGACTGAATCTCTGATTTGAACAACTTTTGCTCTCTCCACTGCATCTGGAGATAACTAGGCAGCAGTGACTTGTTCTGCAAGGGGAAATGTCTAATCTTTGGCCCAATGTTAATATCTTTCTTGGCCCAAACTAAGCAACAGGCCTCATGACTCATCTCAGAAGTCTCACTAAGGGATATCAGATTTCTATTTCTGCAGTTTGGATGACAATAGTTACCTTCCTAGGGCTGTATAATTGTTAGTCAGAGAAAGTACAACATGGTCCTGTGAAGTGGATTATTTTTATTATCCCAAATTGACAGAGAAGGGACAGCACAGGAGGGCACCCGCTATGAAGCCTCGCCAAGGCTTTCTGTGATGTATAGATGTAGAATAAGACAGACTCATGTCTATCCACTGGATCCAAAGGCCAGAAGGATATGAAGATAACAAGCATACTTGCTGAATAGAAATGGGATGAATGGGTAGAAGGTAGGTGGTAACTCTGAAGTCTATTATTTTGAAGAACACGTGAAAAGCTCCAGGTTCAGAACAAAAATCTGAAAGTTGATCAATAACTTGGAATGTTAAAGCCATAACCAAGGGAGAAAGCTCAGCAGGCATGATTGCTTACTATCCCTTTTCTTAGATTCAGAGGCCTACAGTGCTTGCTTCTCCTTGCAAATGTTGAATATCTGTAAATGAGCAGGAGGTGGCTGAAACAAGATGCTAACCCCCTCCTCAGTAGGCTCAGGAACCTGTTTGCAGACCTCCCAAAGCATTTCTCCAAATACAACAGTAAAAATATTAACTCATATATTTTATTCATTCGATGTATGGCCTTAATTCTAGTTGACCCCCCCACCCCCTTTTTTTTTTTTTTTTTGCCAATGGATAAGGGTCTCTTGGTGCTACAAAGATCTTAGGTCTGTTTGAAAAGGATTTTAAAAGATATTTATACCTTCTTTCTTCAAATATTAAAAGACTGATGGTATGAAAGAAGTCGCGTTGTTAATTTGGTCTATTTAGGATTAAAAATTACACTTTGTTTCAGTTCTCATGCCAACTGAACACTTAAAATCTTCCCACTTCCCTTTTCCAAACATATATCCTGTTCTCTTCCCAAATGCAACCCCTTCTCACTGTGCCCGCCCCACCTGAGTCTGGCACACCAGCCTCCTCCCACGTTCTCCCTGCTGGGCACACTCTACATTGTGAACGTTCAGGTGGAAAACACCTTCCTAGAGAATCTTCCCTGATCCGCAAACCAGAAGCCAGTTCCCCTATTGAATTCCTCTAGCCCTTCCTCTGACCTCCCCACTGGCAGATGCAGTCTTGTTTTGCTGGTAATTTTGGAACATATTTTATCTCCCTATTCCATTAAAAGCTTCCAGGGGCCAGGATCCTTGTCTGGCCGGCCTTTATGTTCTCTCCCACGATTTTTGTTGAATAAATGAATAAAGGAACAAATGACTCCATATATGGTTCTCAAGAACACCAATTACATGTCACATCAGTTGGGGTGACCACTCAGCAACAGAGCATGAGTAACACATCTGGGCCACATGGAAGTTGGCGTGTGTGTCACCACACTCCTTGGCCGTGAACAACAAAAATTGCAGTGAGGAAAACATAAGGATACAATGTTGATGGAGTAAATGTTTGCAGTCCCCACCCCCACCACCGGCTGTTACAACTCCTGTACTTTATTGTTTACAGAGTAGCTCTTATGCTACTGTAATTTGTTTATTTTTGCTTTACTGCTCCTTTGAAGTTTAAAGGCAGACATGAGAACACTGCAGGGCAAATGCGGCTGCTGTGCTGAGCGCCCGGGCTCCCGCGTCTCTGGCACTCTGGGGTGTTCGTGAAGGTCATTCCTTCCCTCCGCGCTACGCACAGAATGAAATATTCCTTACTTTCAAGATTAATCCAGTGGCTGGCATTCACAGGAGACTAGTGGGGCTATTTGTCAACTAGCTCTAAATATTCTATGGCAAATACTCCACTCTCCCCTGAAAATTGGTTCTTTCCCCATCAATTTCTCAACGTCGATATACTCTTCATTGGAGTGAGAAATATTTCTCTTTGTAGTTAAAGCTGTGTTTCTAAATACAAATGCCTAGTCCTGTTAAAGAGAAAACACTGGCTCTTTGGGGCAACGACAGGCGGCGTAGACTGGAGGCAGAAGCTAAGACAGACTCCGTTTCCCCGGTGGGCAGCCGGCCCAGGGCGGGTTGTCCAGCAGACAGCTCAGCCGCGCAAGGAGCAGCCCGCCTCCAAACAAAAGGAGCCCGCACCTGGGGTGCAGACAAAGGGAGGCCGCTGGGCTACCCAATTCCCAGCTCACATCCCTGCTGCTGGGGACACCTAGTGGCCACACGCGCCCCAAGCACAGGTGCTACTGAAGCTCCTCACTGACCTGCGGAGGGGTCCAGGGGAATCCCCGCGAGTTTGCTGTTTGGCCACTTAGCTTGCCAGGATCAGACACCCACACCAATGCACACTCATGCCACGCAGTCAGCTACACTCTCTTTGGCCTGAAAGCCAGACACACACACACAGAGAAATAGGGGGAGGGGACTATTTCTTTCTGAAGAAGAAAATCAGAGTTCAGAGACTTACCGAGTTCAGAAACTTATTGAATGCACTTTCTTCTGCATAGAGCGCCGTCTGGCTTTGTTCTCCGACATTTTAGATTACAAAAAGCTTTTCTGCCCTCAAGCTCGATGAGAAATCTAGGATAAACTAAAGTGAAGTCTGCTCCGGGCAAAGTGCGCAGTGGGTTTGTTTATTGGTCTCTTCTGGGGAACCTCTGGCTTTATGCTCTCTTGCTACAAAAGTGTCCGATGGATTGATTCTCTGCTGTT